AAAAAAAAAAAGTGGGTCATGTATGTTAATCCAGCCAACGGGCTCATATTAGGTCAGTCACAACAGATTGGCCAGTATCAAGTTCCGCATTCAATGCAATTAACTTTTCAGTTCATTTATTGATTTTATTTTGTGGTATAATTTTACTTGTTATTATTATTTTTTTAAGTAGGTAGAGCACCCTTTATGGACATACCCCTCCAGTGTTGACATCACAGTGTTGGGTTTTCTGTCCCAAATGGCCTTGCATTCTGAGAGCACTCCGGATGAAAGTGATATCCTTATCACATGACAGAGGCTCGTTAAAGGGCTTTAAGTAAGTAATCCATCATCTTTGGGATCTGCAGATTCACTCAACGCTGATTGGTTTGTCTCCACTAATCCAGACTGAGATGATCACCTACCCGGAATACAGCTCCTCTATCACAATTATGAAACCAATTACGTATGACTGGTATGCTACTTATTGTGAGGTTTACACATGTAGCCAAAACGTAATTTACGTTAGCAAAGCTGCTCCTGTCGTCACAAATGTATTTGCCCCGTTTCTTAATTGTTGAGGTTCACGTGTGCATACTCCCTTACGTGTATTAATCCTTCATTTTATCCTACCAATAAGCACACGGAAAACAAAGAGTATCTCAAGTGATTCAATTTGGAAGTTGACCAAAATGTTCATGCAAAATATTCATCGGAACTTAAGTTGCATAACATTTCTGAGTTTTAAAAGTTGTACATCTCTGTACCTCGAGAGACCTCTGTTCAGTGAGCAGCAACGTGTTTTGCTTGACCTGCGTGACCTCTCGTGTCACCACAGGAATTACCAAAGTAAAGGCTGAGAGAACTTTTTTTCCCCATGTTACAAAAACGAACTTCTTGTCACACTTAACAAGAAAGAATGTTTAAAAAATGTGAGATGTAAAGAGAGATTTGCATGGAACTACGTTTTCAGACATGTGATTAAGTAAGAGATGGTCTTTTGCAAAGTCTGACAACACACTGTCATGAATAATGTATCAATGGCGCAACAAGATTCTGTGGCCACAGAAAGAGGTGTGTTACAATAACGCGACATAAGATCAATCAGGTCAAACGTGAGAACCCAAAACAAGCGAGATTGTAGAACAGTGCCAAACAAATGATCTCAGGTTTTAGATTGGGAGAATGAACAAATATAAACATGGTAACAAGCAGGAAAACAAAAGAGGGAGGCACAAAACAACACCTACCCGACCGATCATGTTCTTCCTGCAACTGAAATGCAGCTCGACACGCATGTGCAGGCACTCCCGCTCAACTTACGGTGCGTGAAAACAAAATCCTCCCATACAGGAAGTGGCCCGCCCACCAGGTATATCTGCTCACCTGATCAGACCTGAAAGGCAAGTTCCTCTCACAAAAGACTACAGATCTCCACCTTCTATTTGTTTTTATCCTAATTTCATTATGATCACAAATATTGAGCTAACACCAAATGTTAGTTTCTGCCCTTTCAACTCCGTATTGGGGAGCGAAGATATTTTAGCCTTTTTACACGTGTTCCCTAAAATAAAACTCTGAGCTAAGAGAGTGAAAATCCAAATGATGATGACACTGCATGCACAGTACCTACAGAGGTAAATATGGTTTAATATGTAGGTCCTAAAATGACCACTAGATGGGGCTGCCTCAATAAGAAGACGTCTTGAAGCACCAAGACAGTGAAATGTGAGCACTTTGTACAGTCATGCATGGGTTGTAACAGTAGTAGTAGTAGTAGTAGTAGCAATTGTTTTGTAGCTGATTCGCCTTGAAGCTCCTCGGACAACTGAAAGAAAAAAAAGTTTCTTCAATTTATAGCCTATTGGGAAGATAGATTCAACATGCAACTACAGTACTTCATTTTATGCGAACAGTAGGGCATGCAACCAATGCGCCGTCCAAAAAGAAATGTGTTTATGATCCGCAGCATCTTTGCTTTACACCTACTCGCCTGGCCCATGTACTTCTTCTGGTTTTCATACAAGAACAGCAGCTCTTTGTGTCTCACTGACCCATTAACGGGGAGAGAAGGCCACAGTCGGTGTCAGTCACCGCTCACACATTCCTCTCACACACACACATTCATAGCGGGTTGTCAGAGTATTCATGGGCCATTTCATTCATCCCAGAAATAAAATGGGCAACTACGCACGGATGGCGACGCAGCGAATACAACGATATTCTGATGGAAAGTGGTGCTGTGCTACGCCGTCATATTTCAAGGGATCATCACGCTCATTGTCGATACGCTGTATGCGTCGTGACATTAATCAGAGGAGAGTGGATTTCTGCAGCGATGCAGGGCAGGGAGAGAACAGCAGGTAGCCATAAACCTCACTAATCTGCAGGTCGATAAAATGTCAGCGTTGCTTGGTAACCTTCAGGCTGTCAACCTATTAATAGAGTGAATTGTACCACCTGTGGTCGTGTACAGGTTGGGATGGGATGCAAGATATTTATTCCACATGTATTTACATGATCAGGAATGGTGTGATATTTGTTGTATTAATATAGCCGTTTTGCCTCAAAATTGGTTCATTCAAGGCATTCATTTGTTTCGGTTTATTTTCAGTTATTTTCTCTCATTATATAATGGGATGATTTGTCTCATGTAAATCATTTTTAGACATATTTAAATGAGTTTGCTAATAAAAGTTGCCTGACTGATTTCATTGACTGATTCCGCATACAAGCTATGTGTGTACAACGTACTTTCGGCTCTGCTATCACGCTGCTTCGGAAAGAAAACAATTGCACCAGGTCCTACAATCAACCACGCTTGTGTCGTGACATGAGATGCCGCCTGCCAAGCACTCCTAATATTCCACTACTTCAAACATTTAAATGTTGTTTATCTATTTAAATGTTCTCATAAATCACAACACAGCAAACCCAGCCCCACCCATTATAACGCCCATCTTAAACCGGGGAGGAAGCCAGATGTAAATCAGCCGCTGCTCTCCCATTCGCATTTACCAAAAGCATTCCAAACTGCTGATGATCCTCAATGCAACTTTGTTCTCATTCAACCTCGTTTGCACAACCGAAAGCCCGAGGAGGCCTCTCGAGAATCACGAGGGTTTTTAACTGATGTCCTTGAGTTGCGTTAAGGACTTATACATAATAGGGAATAAACCCCAACCAAAATACGACAGAAAACAGCAAGAAATGGAGATACATTTTGCTTCAAAGTAGGAGCTTGATGCATAATTTGATGGAACTTTCCACACACTTGCTTTTTTGTTCCGCTGAAAGGGGTATTCCAACCAGGGTGGCAAAATTGCTAGACAGTGTTGACTCATGAAACGAGATACTTTGATAGAAAGCAAATACAAAGCAGCAGTAGGCCTGTATGAGAACCACGGATCCTGAACCATAAACAAAACACCTAAAGTGCCTCTTTGTGTCACCCCATGCCTTCTGCGTTCATAACCCACCACAACTCCCCCCTCATGACCTCACCCCCACCCCCACCCCTGCAGACATACGATCCTCGAGGGATTCATGACGAAAGCAAGTCATAGCGACCCAAATGGGCTGCAAGAGAGGCCAGCTGTGCCCCTCGTAGATGCAGCCTAGAAAAAGCTAATATAGGTGCAAAACAACCCACCCCATTCCGTATCAGTAAATAGAAAAAAACAACTTGAAACCTGAATCTGAAAGCTAATCTAAGTAAGTGTTTCTCCACTCAAAATCTAACCCCGATCCACAACAATGTGTCAGTTGTGTAAAAGGTCGATGACATTATTCAGTGATTTATGTAAATGATATACTGTACTGTATTTATTTTTTTGTTGACCACATATGGGACATAGTAGACTTTCGCTCAGTAGTTTACAAACTGAGGTCCTTGAAATCCCAATGGTCCACAGAATCATTTAGCAAAATATTATGTCATATCATTTACAAAGAAAAATAAAACGACAAACATACACTACTTACATGCCTAATAACACAGATCATAAACCAATTACTCCCCTGCGCTAGACACCCAGTTCAGTGGAAATGTGGAAATGGAGATGACGATGCAGTTTATCGCCACTTCATATCTAGTAATTTGGTAAAAGGGGTCGAATAGTGTTCAGCATGAATGCCAGTGTTACAGAGTGAGCTCTGCTTTTTCCAGGTCCATGTCAACAGGGATTGTTTGAACAATGCAGTCGTTGTTGTGAAACGTTTGCAAAAGCATCGGTTTTCACTAGGTCGTTGTGTGAACGTACCCACCACGTCTCACCCTCATAGAAGCCTTCGCAACACTTGCATGAAACTCACATCCATTATGCAACATATTATTTATTGGTGCTTTAAGTACACGGTTGTTTGAACTGCAACCTGATGAAGTAACCCGTTTGGAACAGGTTAAAACATGATGCGATATTAGCAAAGGGAGAGAGAGAGAGAGAGAGAGAGAGAGAGAGAGAGAGAGAGAGAGAGAGAGAGAGAGAGAGAGACATTCTAAATCTTCCAGGGAAATGGGTGGTTTAAAAAAACAGGATGAACCGATGGCATAAAAGGCAGGACAGACAATGTTGATCTGCGCAGCGTCTGAAACAGAAGGCTTCTGTCCGTTCGCACACCAATTAACACATTCCACTTCCTTTCCATGAAGTGGGCATGATAAACTTGAAAACAAGGTTGTGTGTGCATGTGTGTGTGTAACCCCACTTCCTGGTACCCCTAATCATTTGCATGGGCTTTACATGGGTTGCTAGGAAATGAGAATTGGCACGAAGAGGGGGCAGGAAAAAAAAACAAAAAAAACAATAGGGCAATTGTGCATCCCTGAATTACGACCCAAAATCCAAATGAGTAACATTACTTAAATGTCACGGGTCTTTGGGTGACTTAGGTCGAACAATCAGCTGGAAAGGGACCTCAGGAGGCTGAACCACAAACAGTTTGAATGACAAACTCACTCATTCAAATTCACCCGATCTTGGGAGTCCATTTGTGACTATTGTGTCTAATTATGAGTCAGCAGCCAAATAAAAGTCAAGGAGGACACACAAGACACAACAAGACACCCACACACTCTTTAGGCACCCGATTGCAACTCACCTCTGTGTGATGGTGATTCTGCTGATGCCTGGCGGCCCCATTGTACATTGCTTCCTGAGAGGCGTTCTCATCTGCACACAACTTACGGTGCGTGAAAACAAAATCCTCCCATACAGGAAGTGGCCCGCCCACCAGGTATATCTGCTCACCTGATCAGACCTGAAAGGCAAGTTCCTCTCACAAAAGACTACAGATCTCCACCTTCTATTTGTTTTTATCCTAATTTCATTATGATCACAAATATTGAGCTAACACCAAATGTTAGTTTCTGCCCTTTCAACTCCGTATTGGGGAGCGAAGATATTTTAGCCTTTTTACACGTGTTCCCTAAAATAAAACTCTGAGCTAAGAGAGTGAAAATCCAAATGATGATGACACTGCATGCACAGTACCTACAGAGGTAAATATGGTTTAATATGTAGGTCCTAAAATGACCACTAGATGGGGCTGCCTCAATAAGAAGACGTCTTGAAGCACCAAGACAGTGAAATGTGAGCACTTTGTACAGTCATGCATGGGTTGTAACAGTAGTAGTAGTAGTAGTAGTAGCAATTGTACATGCTTTTGTGAACGTGTTTTTAATCCAAACTTTTTCTTTTTAATGCAAATAAGATGTATTGTAAAGTATGCCGAATCTGCGATTGAATGATAAACACTGACATTCTTTATAGAATGGATGGGAGTCATTTGGGGCCTTTTTAACCCGCAGGGAGGAAATGCGAACAGTAGGGCATGCAACCAATGCGCCGTCCAAAAAGAAATGTGTTTATGATCCGCAGCATCTTTGCTTTACACCTACTCGCCTGGCCCATGTACTTCTTCTGGTTTTCATACAAGAACAGCAGCTCTTTGTGTCTCACTGACCCATTAACGGGGAGAGAAGGCCACAGTCGGTGTCAGTCACCGCTCACACATTCCTCTCACACACACACATTCATAGCGGGTTGTCAGAGTATTCATGGGCCATTTCATTCATCCCAGAAATAAAATGGGCAACTACGCACGGATGGCGACGCAGCGAATACAACGATATTCTGATGGAAAGTGGTGCTGTGCTACGCCGTCATATTTCAAGGGATCATCACGCTCATTGTCGATACGCTGTATGCGTCGTGACATTAATCAGAGGAGAGTGGATTTCTGCAGCGATGCAGGGCAGGGAGAGAACAGCAGGTAGCCATAAACCTCACTAATCTGCAGGTCGATAAAATGTCAGCGTTGCTTGGTAACCTTCAGGCTGTCAACCTATTAATAGAGTGAATTGTACCACCTGTGGTCGTGTACAGGTTGGGATGGGATGCAAGATATTTATTCCACATGTATTTACATGATCAGGAATGGTGTGATATTTGTTGTATTAATATAGCCGTTTTGCCTCAAAATTGGTTCATTCAAGGCATTCATTTGTTTCGGTTTATTTTCAGTTATTTTCTCTCATTATATAATGGGATGATTTGTCTCATGTAAATCATTTTTAGACATATTTAAATGAGTTTGCTAATAAAAGTTGCCTGACTGATTTCATTGACTGATTCCGCATACAAGCTATGTGTGTACAACGTACTTTCGGCTCTGCTATCACGCTGCTTCGGAAAGAAAACAATTGCACCAGGTCCTACAATCAACCACGCTTGTGTCGTGACATGAGATGCCGCCTGCCAAGCACTCCTAATATTCCACTACTTCAAACATTTAAATGTTGTTTATCTATTTAAATGTTCTCATAAATCACAACACAGCAAACCCAGCCCCACCCATTATAACGCCCATCTTAAACCGGGGAGGAAGCCAGATGTAAATCAGCCGCTGCTCTCCCATTCGCATTTACCAAAAGCATTCCAAACTGCTGATGATCCTCAATGCAACTTTGTTCTCATTCAACCTCGTTTGCACAACCGAAAGCCCGAGGAGGCCTCTCGAGAATCACGAGGGTTTTTAACTGATGTCCTTGAGTTGCGTTAAGGACTTATACATAATAGGGAATAAACCCCAACCAAAATACGACAGAAAACAGCAAGAAATGGAGATACATTTTGCTTCAAAGTAGGAGCTTGATGCATAATTTGATGGAACTTTCCACACACTTGCTTTTTTGTTCCGCTGAAAGGGGTATTCCAACCAGGGTGGCAAAATTGCTAGACAGTGTTGACTCATGAAACGAGATACTTTGATAGAAAGCAAATACAAAGCAGCAGTAGGCCTGTATGAGAACCACGGATCCTGAACCATAAACAAAACACCTAAAGTGCCTCTTTGTGTCACCCCATGCCTTCTGCGTTCATAACCCACCACAACTCCCCCCTCATGACCTCACCCCCACCCCCACCCCTGCAGACATACGATCCTCGAGGGATTCATGACGAAAGCAAGTCATAGCGACCCAAATGGGCTGCAAGAGAGGCCAGCTGTGCCCCTCGTAGATGCAGCCTAGAAAAAGCTAATATAGGTGCAAAACAACCCACCCCATTCCGTATCAGTAAATAGAAAAAAACAACTTGAAACCTGAATCTGAAAGCTAATCTAAGTAAGTGTTTCTCCACTCAAAATCTAACCCCGATCCACAACAATGTGTCAGTTGTGTAAAAGGTCGATGACATTATTCAGTGATTTATGTAAATGATATACTGTACTGTATTTATTTTTTTGTTGACCACATATGGGACATAGTAGACTTTCGCTCAGTAGTTTACAAACTGAGGTCCTTGAAATCCCAATGGTCCACAGAATCATTTAGCAAAATATTATGTCATATCATTTACAAAGAAAAATAAAACGACAAACATACACTACTTACATGCCTAATAACACAGATCATAAACCAATTACTCCCCTGCGCTAGACACCCAGTTCAGTGGAAATGTGGAAATGGAGATGACGATGCAGTTTATCGCCACTTCATATCTAGTAATTTGGTAAAAGGGGTCGAATAGTGTTCAGCATGAATGCCAGTGTTACAGAGTGAGCTCTGCTTTTTCCAGGTCCATGTCAACAGGGATTGTTTGAACAATGCAGTCGTTGTTGTGAAACGTTTGCAAAAGCATCGGTTTTCACTAGGTCGTTGTGTGAACGTACCCACCACGTCTCACCCTCATAGAAGCCTTCGCAACACTTGCATGAAACTCACATCCATTATGCAACATATTATTTATTGGTGCTTTAAGTACACGGTTGTTTGAACTGCAACCTGATGAAGTAACCCGTTTGGAACAGGTTAAAACATGATGCGATATTAGCAAAGGGAGAGAGAGAGAGAGAGAGAGAGAGAGAGAGAGAGAGAGAGAGAGAGAGAGAGAGAGAGAGAGACATTCTAAATCTTCCAGGGAAATGGGTGGTTTAAAAAAACAGGATGAACCGATGGCATAAAAGGCAGGACAGACAATGTTGATCTGCGCAGCGTCTGAAACAGAAGGCTTCTGTCCGTTCGCACACCAATTAACACATTCCACTTCCTTTCCATGAAGTGGGCATGATAAACTTGAAAACAAGGTTGTGTGTGCATGTGTGTGTGTAACCCCACTTCCTGGTACCCCTAATCATTTGCATGGGCTTTACATGGGTTGCTAGGAAATGAGAATTGGCACGAAGAGGGGGCAGGAAAAAAAAACAAAAAAAACAATAGGGCAATTGTGCATCCCTGAATTACGACCCAAAATCCAAATGAGTAACATTACTTAAATGTCACGGGTCTTTGGGTGACTTAGGTCGAACAATCAGCTGGAAAGGGACCTCAGGAGGCTGAACCACAAACAGTTTGAATGACAAACTCACTCATTCAAATTCACCCGATCTTGGGAGTCCATTTGTGACTATTGTGTCTAATTATGAGTCAGCAGCCAAATAAAAGTCAAGGAGGACACACAAGACACAACAAGACACCCACACACTCTTTAGGCACCCGATTGCAACTCACCTCTGTGTGATGGTGATTCTGCTGATGCCTGGCGGCCCCATTGTACATTGCTTCCTGAGAGGCGTTCTCATCTGCACAACATTCCGTGTGTGGGCGGCAGGGAAAAAAAAAAAAAAAATCGATATCATGACATGGAGTTAGTTATCTCTTTGAGCATACCTGTGTTGAAGCACAGTAACATCAGTCAAAGATTTTCATTCCAAACCGGTTGTTTAGTCTCCAGATTTTTTTTTTTTCTTTAGTATCACTTTTGTAGAGCACTGCTTTGCAACGACAGGAAACGTTTGGTTGAAGGCGCTGCTGCCAACGGAGACCCTTCACCGGCTCAGTCAGTATCAGCCTCAACATCGTCAACTCGCTTCTCAAAACATCGCTGATCTCTCAATGAAATCCTCCCTGTCCGTGATAGCCTGCTGATGGCCACTAAAAATAGGACTGAGTTGTTGAAGAAAGGCCTTAAAATTGACCCCCCAAAATAGCAGCTTTGTATGTCAAGACTGGACTATAATTTCACTCTTTGGCTTCACCTAATTTCCACCCTGCTGTCTAGATCCAAACCTTGAACGTTTCAAGGAAAGGCTCAAACTTTGTTTTATTACAGACAACCCAAATGATCTTACAAACTTTTAAATATCACACTTTAATTTGAACTCAGCCAAAAAAAAAAAAACTCAACCTAAAGGTACATCTATAGGACTACTTATAATTAGTGGTGAGGGAGAGACAATTTAAAAGAGGAGCCAGCTGTTTTATAAATATAGGCACTACATAACAGGCAACAGCGAATGAATACCAGTCATTATATGTTTATATATATTTCCTAATTATTGTGAGAAATCATGATATCATGAACCAAATCTTCACATATTTGAATATTACTCAATATAATAACATAGGGCCTTTACACAAGGGGACAGACTTTGGCAGGCCTTCTGACATGACTGAATGTTATTGTAAGATCTTCATTCATTGAATGTCAGACAGCATCAAAGGTCTTACAGACAGTGCCGTATGATCTACAGATACACGCAGTGTAAGAGGCAGTATCAGGTCTGTAGAATGGCTGAAACTGTACTAGAGTGTTTTTTTTTTAAGGTCTACATGTGGTACCAGATGGGGCAGGCAAAGGCGTCACTTGCAGTGGTGTTCATTCCCTGTGACCCCCACCAAGAACATTACCGTACATTAATCTCTCTGTCCCTCGGTGGGAATAGGCTCACAATTTCAGTGTGGACTCACATCGGGGATTAGTGATGGAGTCATACAGTGATTAAGCAGGGTGGGTAACTGAATGGATGGATGAATGGACATGAAAGACACGACTGTAACACAGGACACGACTGAAGGAATTAATTCATGAAATGTTTGACGAACGGGAGAGTGTGTGAATGGAGCGTCATTCTACCTTCTCCTACTACAGCATTCGTATTTCATATGTTGCCTCATTCAGATGAAACTCAAACAAGTTCCCCTTAATATGCATATATTATACAGCGAAAGGGGTCCTAATAAGTGGGGCACTTCAGACAGGGTATTTTAGGACTGTTTATGGTGGAAATGCAATACCATACTGTACAACATGGTACAAATAAAGCTTGGAGATAGGCCAAAGCCACCATTTGACAACCCCACTTCACAAACTGTACTGCAGTCGTTTTCCTCACTCATCTACTCGAACGACGGCATTCCTGCAAAAGCTGAAACCTCATAGAATTCTGCATTCCCACACATCTCTCTGGCGAGCTAGTGACCCTACAAACCGGGAATAAGACCTTTGGAATGTGAGCAATGTCGGGAGCTTAAGAGACACCTGCGGAGACAACCAAAACATTGAGCAAACCTTGGGCATCGTCTGAGCCACTATATGATCTCCTTTCCTAAACGTGTCTGCCCCTGCTCCTGCTGCTGTCTGGTTCCCATCATTAATGCGAATGGGACAAAAACACTTTTGTCAGGTATTCAAAACAACGAGCATGGAGAGGGTAATTGCTCAGGGTGGCTGGGTTTGGGAACCAGACAATTATCAGATATTTGCATATCGTTTTCTCACTGATGAAGTCTCACTCCTTTTCTCACAAACATCACTTCATGACATTTCTTCAGATATCTTTATCTGATAATATGATACTCACCCCTCCAAAAATAATAATGATAACCATGAATGCATTCTTACAAAACACACACTAAAAAAGTGTGCAACAAACGGGGCAAAAACAAAAACTTCCAAAAAAAAAAAATAGCTCTTGATTACACTGTCTTTTATTGTAACTAGTGACAGATTAAAGAAAGGATTGTAGATGTCTTTAATGCAGACACTAAAAGCTGGTTTATTCCATATTGCACCATCAGACAAAATTGTAAAAAACGGTGTAAGCCAAAAAGACCCACAAGGATTCTGTTTTAATTGTTACATACGAACTCAAAAGTATGTAAATGACTGAGTCGGGATGTGGGGGAGGCTGCCCAAGTGCTGAGTTTTCAACACTTGCGGTTTGTCGTGTCATGCTCCAGTCACTGCATTTAACTTCACAGTTACTTTTTTAAATTATCTTTCCCTTCTACACGGTTATAGTTGGTGATCTATGCATATGAATTGAGGGGTGTGTTCCAATGTAATGTGTTTGTATTTTGGGTCGGTCAGCATACGGTCACCTGACTTATAGATCAATTCGCATGAAAAGTTCATATAAATAAAGGCACGAATGCAAGTCGAAGTTTGTCTTGCGATCTTACTCATGTTTGAGTGTCTATAAAAGGATGACATGAAGAGGGTAAACATGAACAGCTACTTCCTTTAAAACAATCGTATCAAAGGATTGCACTTAAAAAACAAAACCAACAATTGACTTTTGCTATTAGGAAGATATTCGGGGGTGGGAAAATCATAATAGAATGCACAATGCTGCCACACTTACTTGGCAATTGAGATCGGAGTCGAATGGGTTCTCGGTAGAGTCCAACCACTCTTTTGATAAGGAATGTAAAGTTTTCAGTTTTCACTTCAAATACATTTGCTATGATCCTTCATAACTCCTTTTCCCACAACAGTGCGACGCGGGTATGGGCGATAATTATCTTCCAAATCGTTTCGGTCTTGGCCGTGGCACGCCAAGAATACAATTGTTTCGGTTGCTGACTTGGAAGCAGTTGTTTGTTTAGAAACTATGGCGGTGTCTCCAACGCGGGAATGGATACGCTGATCTGCAGTCTGTATGTAGAGGACGCCGACAATAGGGACCGCCCCATCCGTTCGTTCATTGGCCCGTGTCTTTAAAAGGCGTACTGTTTACTTAAATGATTTATTTTCATTGGTGTGCTGTATAGCCAATCCTAGGCAAGCATCCTTGACACGAATTTGTACGCGAGCGCACCGTGATGTCATTCATGAAAGTGTTTTATGACACAAATATTTATTTCAGTTATGCCAATGAAATATTAACTTCCTGCTCCCATAATTATCCGTAAATGTTTAACATCACTTGTGCTCCAACTAGATCTCGTTGCTTTAATTTTGAATCGGTGTAAATGAGCTGAGATGCTTTCGCCTAAAGGCCATGTCAAGAAAGGACGCCTGGGAGGCGAAATAAATGAATTAGAAGTCTCCTATTTTTTCAGAAAATGAATATCGCTCTTTGGCCTTTTCTATCATAGATGAATCTGTTTTCGCTGTTTTGGTAGAATAAGAATGACAGTGCAATCCAACGTACTCTTGCAGCAATGTCCAACATTGGCCACTAGACAGCACTGTACAACAAGTAACTGCACTCCAGCGGCAGGTGTAGCTATATTTCATGCTTATTATCAATACAAAACGCTTATTACTAGCGTATTCTCGACTTGGTTACCCAAACTATCAAATGAACAGTTTTTGACAAGGGTTTGACTCCAATGTGGGAGTCGTGTAGCGTTCGAGTGAGGGATGGGAGACGCTTCCTAGTAGGGTTGCCAGGAATGCAAAATTGTATCCTCATTCCTCCATATAAATGCTACTCCGTTCGAGACATTTAATGGATGAAATGTATAATCAATCTGTAAATATTCTGTCGTCAACTTTGAACACGTTGATAAATGTTCGTTCTGAGCGTCATTTACTTGTTATTTAATTACCCTGGGATTCGTCAATTTTGTTTGACCTGGCAACCCGGCTAGCACCGCACTGCTACGTTTTGTCGTGTGATCCGGAGAACCACGACCGCTGTGCGGGAAATGGACTGAGTGAGGGAGGGCGCTCTTTCCACCACTGCTGCCTATAGCATCGAAATACCTACCAGCTAGGCTCAAATTGCCGATTTCAGGTGGCGGAATTCGCAAGAAAAATACAGTGCCGTCATTAGTCTTTCACATCCCACTCTAGACACACTAACACGGCATTGATGGTAATGTATGCGAGGAAACAACCGAGACTCGGCGATGGGTAAACATCTTTTGACGTTACTTCTTCACATTTTCCTTTCGCCTATAGCTACGCTTGACAATCCGCCATTTTTTTACTGAAACCAAAATAAGTGTCTGGAAAGTTGCGCGTTCACTTTGATCCATTTCTCAACGTTGACTTTTCAAGCCTTCTATTCACATGCTCTTTCTTTATGATTGCAGGTGCGACCGAAGAGATTCTCAGCCCTATCAGGTACTTGGAAGCTAAACGTAGTGTGCTAGCAGCAAATCAGATTAAAATGGAAACTCAGGGTCAGGCTTCTGGTGAGCTCAACAGGCCGCAGTCAGTGCGGAAAAGTGAAAAGTAGATATTTGTTTCAAATTGCGGAGACCGTCGACAGATACGCATAGTGTAATAACGAGTGTATAAACTGGAGCCTGCTGCAGAGTGACGGTTCAGGCGAGTTTTACAGCAGTTAAAGCTCTTCGCTCTTTACGGTTAGCTCGCCTGCTAGCCAGTCTGATTAAGGCCTGCCCGTAATTTTTAATCTAGCAAGCGATTTGAAACGTTTCAACATTCCGATCATGTACGGATACACATTAGTACGCGAGTTGTTACAGTCAAACGTCTGGAATGCAGCCGTGATTTTAATCAACACCATACGTCACACTACGTCGCCATACGAATAGTTTATCTTCTCACGTTGTAATGATCGATACAT